AAATTGTACAGGAAAATTATTATTTAATTTATTATTCACCCTTTCTGGGTTATTTAATCGAATACTTTTGTTCTTCTAAGGAGTTCAATATACAGACGAATCTAGGACATGTGCAATTTTAATAGCATTCTTTCCTTCCTACATTACTCAGAAACTGACCTTCCCTTGTCTGTGCACATGAGGATTCTCTTCCTGGTCTAATTTGGTGATATGTTACCAGCCCTTCGCTCCTAAACCACTTGTACAATGAAAAGTCTGAAGAGACTTCCCCCAAACCCTGGCCTACTCTTCCTCCATGCAGTATTCATGCACTGGCATGTCGAATAAGAGACATCTCTTAGGACTACAATCCTCAGCTAAGCCAAGAACACTCAACTTGAAACAGAGCGAGTTACAGACATAAAAGCCAAAGTTATGTTCCAGCAAATGCTCTGACGGCGACCTGTCTTGTGCATAGTTTTTTTGCTTTTGGAAGAGTCAAAAGGAGACAGAGATGGCAGGCGGAAGGAGAATGAAACGAGATGTAATGACAATTGAGAGAGAATCAGGAAAAAATAAGAGCAATGCAGCAACAAAGAAACAACGACAAAAGGGAGTGAGTGGCAGTTTTAGTCTTTTTGTGGTTGGAGTTTGACTGCTCTTGTCTGGGAGGCTGTTACATCATTACATTACATTACATTTACAGTAGCTGACGCTTTTATCCAAAGCGACTTACAATAAGTGCATTCGACCAAGAAGATACAAACTTGAAGAAAACAGAATCATATAAGTCCATCAGGTTTCATAGAGCCAAAACATTTCAAGTGCTACTCAACTGGCTTTAGATAAGCCAGTCCTTTGTTAGTAGATAAGTGCTTTGTTAGTAATTCTATCGATCGAAGTGGAGTCGAAAGAGATGAGTTTTCAGTCTGCGCCGGAAGATGTGTAAGCTTTCTGCTGTCCTGATGTCAATGGGGAGCTCATTCCACCATTTTGGAGCCAGGATAGCAAACCCACGAGTTTTTGCTGATGGGAACTTGGGTCCCCCTCGCAGTGCGGGTGCAGCGAGCTGTTTGGCTGATGCAGAGCGGAGTGCACGTGCTGGGGTGTACGGTTTAACCATGTCCTGGATGTAGGAAGGGCCAGATCCATTCGCAGCATGGTATGCAAGTGCCAGTGTCTTGAAGTGGATTCTAGCAATTACTGGAAGCCAGTGAAGGGAGCGGAGGAGCGGCGTGGTGTGGGAGAATTTAGGAAGGTTGAAGACTGGATGAGCTGCAGAGGTCGGATGGCACATGCAGGTAGACCAGCCAGGAGGGAGTTGCAGTAGTCTAGGCGTGGCAGATTGGACTGTGTCGCTTTCTGCGTCAGGAGGGAACGTGTCCTCCTGATGTTGTAAAGAGTGTATCTGCAGCAGCGGGTTGTTTAGGAGGACAAGGCTCATTGTTCCCTCTCCACCCAAGCGCTTTTTACGTCGCCTGACATCCCAACTCAGCAGCGACGACCAAGAGAGCACATGACGCTGCAACTTTGATTAGTCATACGCACCCCATCGAAAACCTGGTTACACTTAACATTTCTGTATGCTGTGAAATCAAGAAAAGGCACAGCTCACCTACGCACCAGACGCGCTCAACCTGTCAGATAGCTGCCATGTTAGCGCTCGCTGAGATCCATCACTTTCACACCGTGCTTACCAGAACACCACCTGGGCACGGCATGCAGGCCAGCGCGGGGAAATACGTGGTCTCGCTCTCACTCTCAGGCAGACAAGTTCACAGCCAGGCCGACACTCTGAGAAGTGCCGAAACACCAGACCCTCTCCACCTGTCGCCCGTCTTATGGGAAGCATTGCACCTACACAAAGTCTCCCACCAAGTCTGCAGCTAGAAGGTTCCTGCATGGTACCTGCATGCATTAAAAATGACAGCAGTTGTGAATAATCTTGGCTTAATATTATAATAAATGGACTTTTCTCATTCAGCTAAACTTTTAACTGTTGTTGTGTTGCATGTTGAGCAGAGTGGACTGCTGAGAATCAATCACACACATTCAAGGGAACACACAGCATCCTCTTTAGCCAAACAGCATATCCTCTGCTACTGCCAGTGTCCATGGCCACTGCTCACCAAACATGGCATCTGTCTGACATATGGGAGCTCTGTAGGGTCATCTAGACGAACACGCTTTCACCCGCTGCCTTCTGCCTCCCAAACCCATTCCAAATGCTGCCTTTTATCTCCCTTTGCCGTCTCATTTATTATCCTTTTTGAAAAATACATCTTTCATATTTTTCTCCTAACCTGAAACACTTAATCATCTTCCTCCTTGTTGGTCTTTTCTATGCTGCAACATCATTCCTTTCTTCTGACAACTCTACAAGAACAACATGGCACTTGATTCCCATGACGAGAAAGGTTCCTGTCCTTTGCTCCATAAAGTCATCTCCAGATGAGTTCTGCTTCTGTTCACGTCTTAATGAACCATTATGCCTCCCTGCTGGAGCCGATAGAAAAGCCATGAAAGAAGGATCCGGTACAGGATACATGGGGCTGTTCAGGATCCGAAAGGCAGTCATCATCGGTGTTCAGCTGTGCCCTGATTGGCTGTTGTGTTACCCTGAGCTGGAGAGAGCCGAACAGTGAAAGACGAGGGCGAGCCAGAGAAGGCCCCCCCCCCCGGCCAGAGGACAAAGAGCCTCACCGCGGCAGTGCCAGTGTGGCGGCATATCATCTGTGCATATTGTGCTGTAGTGCTCTTGACTTACAGCTCTCACAGAATACTTTGCATGCAGTCGCTCAGCTGTGTGGAGTTTGGCAAAAGTGAATAAAGTTCAACCTCCGTCATTTTTATAAATATAACACATTTTCAAATATTGCTATAGCTACTTCGGCAGATATCAAACTGTCTTCTACCTCATTGTAGTCGGCCCCTGGATTTCCAAATGTAGCACTAGGAAAAGTTAAAGTGCTACGGGCTGTCATCGCTCCCATCCAAACCCCAATGGCATAAATGGCCTTTTGTGTGGGTGAAATATCATCCGTTGGGTGTCTCCCATACGGTGACATCTGCCTGATGAGACCGAGATGCCATATCCCAACGCCTTCCAAAAAAAAACCCCTCTCCTTTAGTTGGCTTTGATGGATGACTTGTGCAGCCACTGCACTTTCCCCACTTGCACACGTGCACGTGCGCTCTCTGGGACAGAGTGGCTGTAGCATCCAGCTGCAGGTCTGTTATCTTGGTGGTGCCATGTGCAGCGCAGCTATCAAATCAACCTATGTGCACGAGCTGGCTAAGCAATTAAACTCCAGGGCCCCGTCCACACTCGACAGTTTTAACATCTGGCATCCTTGTTCTGGCAAGTGTGTGCGTCTGAGTGTGAAAGCCGGCTCATCTGCTGCTATAATAAGCTACAAAAGGTGGTGTACAATTGAATCCATTACAAGAACACAATGACTCATCATTATTACAGTGTCCTTCTTGCTTTGGGTTGTTTCCTTCAATTGTTTTCTTGCAAATTCACTTTTTTTCTGCACCGATCTTAATCACAGAACAGTCCTTCCACCATTAACGGATGTAATGTGAGAGTGGGTGGCCAGGGTTAAACAGGGTGGACGTGAGCTGTATGTTAGGACCTTGTGTTTAGTTGTATCGCTCTGTTTCCACTCTGACGTCAGCATGTCAGAGGACAGCTCCACTCAGATTTTAAAACGCTTAATTTGTTGAATCCTTTCACACTGTACACATCTGACCAATCGAGGCCTGTTCAACCCTCTCTGTGATCATGTGCCCTATGACTCATCACTGGTTCATTCAATGAGGCTAAACGGCTGTTCTAGCAGAAGCGGTCAATATGCTCAACGCTGCACATTGACTTCATCGCTTCCTCTCCTCCTCCTCCTCCTCCTCCTCCTCCTCCTCTTTTCTGTCCTCTCTGTACTCTCAGTACTGCATTCAGCATTGCAGTACTTTGCTGGACACAAAGTACTGCATTCAGTACTTTGTGTCCAGCAAAACATACAACTCCTACACATTGAACAGATATTACACAGTTTGCATTCATGTGACCTGTGTGTCAGGGCAGCACAGCTTGAGTCACTTAGTACTTCATTAAAGATAAATTGCTACCATTTTCCATTATAAGCAACTAGTCATACCAGAGCTGAAAACATCAGTCGATACTGTAAGTGAATTGAGAGAAATGTGAATGGCACATATTGTCCTCATCTATAATTGTAAATGTTTAAGAAAATAATGTCAAGGATGTATCATGTTTGGTTCCTGAACTCTGTGGGAGGGGGGAGAATAAATCACTGTTGAACGTGTTTCTACACTTTTCCACATTTAAATGAACAAATTATTGAATGATTAATCCAGAAATCATGTATTGGTAAATTGAGTAGTGCGCATTTAGCTGATGTGTTGCTTTTAATCAGCTTTGTTTGTACTTCAATACATTACATAGTTCAACTTAAATAAAGGAAAGCATTGGGGAACATCAGAGATACCGTGACTGCCTGATCACTCGTTTACACTGTAGAGCTCAGACTGTCAGGAAACTGGTACTTGGGGCTCCTCCCCCTTTAGCTGCTAGCTCCCTCAGGGTGTCCAGTGAATGCACTTGATTATAAATCGCTGCTACAAACCAGTGAGGTGTTAGCATGATGCTATCATCTCCAGTGGCTCTACGAGTGTGAGTTGTAGCATGAAGCTACGGTGGAGGAAGCTTTGCCCCCAAACCCTGAGCCCTAACGCAGCGCTCCTTATGCTGCCTTCACATTCCTACGTGCCTCCTCACCTGCAGTGACATAACCCCTCTGTGTGAGAGTTATCTCCATGCTGTTGGTCTTAAGAGGACACCGTGTTCCTTACATCCAGTGCTGACCTTCTCAAAAAAGTGTAATGTCTCCAGGGGGCAGAGCAGGTTGAAAGGACGCGTTGAATCACATTAATCCTCTAAAATCCTGCCTGTGACGCACTGATGTGATATGCTAATGTCTCTTCTCTTTGTGCCCTAGGTGACAGAGTACCTGAACAGTCAAGAATCTGCCAAGAGTGCCAGGGTAAGTCACTTCATCACAATCAGCCTCATGTCTTTGTCTTAAAGCAGCTTTTCTGGGGTTTGTCTGCCTCTCTGTGAGATATCTAATGTTGCCAAAACAAGACTGCATTACAACCCTCATTACTTCTATACACCAACCACAGAGAGAAGTCTCTCTCTCGCTCTCTCTCTCTGTCAAGATGTGACACATTGCATTGGCAGTCCCCAGTGTCCCATATGGATTGCTGCCCACAGTCTGTGCATGTCCATACTGTGAAATGGGGGTGGGGTTGTGTGCTAAAGTGTGCGCTGGGTCGAGAAATCGAGAAGGGGAAAAAATGGAGAGTGAAAAGAAGGCAGCACATAACACACAGGGTTAAGATGAGTCAAGTCACACACACACACACACACCAGCCAGAGGAAATGCTTTAACAGAACGTGTGTGGGCCGTATATTCAAAGCCTGATTGATCTGGGAATACCTACAGAGAGAGAATATATATATATAATATGTGTTTCTTCTATTGAACTAATGGGCTTGGCTCTTTTTGAAGTCAAAAAAGGTTGAGACACAAACTGAACTGCACGTTTTATGGGATTTTGTTTTAAGGAGAAAAGTGTTGGAGTTGTTTTTGCATAGGCCACTTTTTATATTTAGACCTGACAGGAAGGTGTTTGTACAGATCCGAGCTGCATTTAACAAGATCCCCTTTGAGATAGAAAGTGGATCCCATCTTATTTTTACTCGTGTAAATGTCAAACACGATGGCTCAGTCCTCCTGCGCTCTTCTAGTCGCCCCGTGGTTCTGCAGCATGCTCACAATGAGGCAGTCGAGGTGGAATAGAGTCTAATCACAATTCCAGTTACTACCATGTTTTCAGGGAGGAGGTGAAAAAAAGGTAGCGTAGTGGGAGACGGGGGAATGGCAACACGAACAAATGGCTTCATTCATTCATCCTAATAACTAGTGCTAATTAGCACAGTCGCTAATTAGCTATGAATCACAGCATTAACAGCTGAGCGCGCAGGCTTCTGAGAGCCAAAAAGGGAAACATCCCACACACAGACCCTCGCGCACGCACACACACAGACACACACACACAGACACAGACAGACACACACACACACACACACACACACACACACACACACACACACACACACACACACACACACACACAGACACACACACACACACACACACACACACACACACACACACACACACACAGGCACACACACACACACCCCTCAGACTGCTCTATTTCCATCACATTAAAGAACTATACTGGCTCCAGCTCCAAACACAAACTCAATGCCAATGGCATTTAATAAAGGCAGCATCATTTAGCTACATGCTATCAGACTTGTGTGTTGGTTTATGAGACGTGGCAGGTATGTGAATGTATAGGAGGAGGAGAAGTGATAGACGGGGGGGGGGGGGGGCGGGTTTTGAGCCGCTGTCAGCCTCAAATTTGCGCATGCACAAAGAGATGGATTGTCTGGATGATGATGATGATTATGATGAGGATGAAGCAGCAGCAGCCTTCACTTTTGGCTTTAAAGCAGTGATCGTACTTTGGACATTGCTGGCTTTTTCTCTCCCTGCCACTCTCTTTTTTATTTTCCTAACCGTTTAACATGTAACATGACAAGAGAGGTCATTGAAGCCCCATTCAGAGCCATTGGGGACATAACCACCCTTTGTGTTTTCTTTCATCATGGTCAATAACGTCGATGTCCTTCTTCCCTTCAGCTCAACATTTGGCGCTACGGGGACTTCCGTGCGGACGATGCCGATGAGTTCGGGTACAGGCGTTAAAAAGAAAAAACGGGGGATAAAAAAAGATATCGACCATCCAATCAACACCATTCCAAAGACCACCATGGACGGCACACATTGGACAGAAGACAGATGACGATAACTAAACGACAAGCATTGACTCAATCTTCCTTCTTTATTTGACATTTCATCCCTCCAGTCCTGACTTCTCTTCTGCTCTTAATTGCGTTCTCCCCTGTAGCTCCACATAGAGCATGCTAGCAATGCTACATCTAAAAGTAACTCGTGCAAGAATCCCTTTCCCCTCATCTCTTTGTTCCTAATGGCCCACTGCCAGCTCAAGCAGCCTGCACTATTGCCAATCTGTGTTATTTGCCATTTTACCTTTTCAGCAGACTTACTGTGTGGATGATAATAATTATTATACTTAAGTATGTGTTTCAGCCAATCACTTCCCTTGCTCTCTGACTCCTGCCCAGTCCCTGTTTCCTCTGCACAGGAAGGGGCCGGGTGCTCTGGGGGGGACGCTTGATTTTCGCAAACAAATGCTTCCCTAATGAATTTCATGTAAATGTGAGGATATGTTGAAAAGTGTAAATGGTTTATTTTAGAGAAATACTGTAGGTGGAGCCACACAGACAAAAAAAAAAGGATGAGTTTATTTTGTCTTCAATGTATATCTGTGTGATGACATTTGCGGATGTTTTTGTGGGGAGTGTTTTGACGTTTATTCAATATGTCACAATTTTAATGACCAGTAAAAAAGGAATGCCATCACGAGGCATTTGTATCATCTCTCAATCTCCTTCTGTAAAGTTTACATTCTGATAATGCTTATGATCCTGTCTCTTCTATTTCTGTCTCTGATAGCCACAGCAGAAAGTGTTTGAATTTGTTTCCAAATAATGGACCTTTGCATTCTATTAAAAATCTGCTGAATAAAAATTAGCAAACTTTACATGTTAAGTGTTGTTGTTTTTTCACACACAAAAACAAGAATAGTGGAGTTACTTGCTTCCTGTTACAGGACCTGGTTCTTACTTCTACGCAGATAGTGTTGTTCCTTGTAAAAATTAATAAACGGAAATCTGCAAATGCAGATATAAAAGCCTGCATACGCTTGATATAGTTTTACCTTCTCATATAAAACAACATACTACAATGCAATTTTTTTCCAAATTCAACATACTTTTTTCATATTGTTATATCCCTGTGCTAAGTAGAGGGAAATGGAGACAATAACACAACAACCAATTCATTTGAGGCAGTCAGAGTGATTCTGAGAATATATTTATTCTCAGAAAAGTAGTTCCAGTGAACACACAAAACTCTCCAAGTGAGGAGGAGGAAGGGACAATATGATTGTGCAAAGCAAGAGATACAAATATATATCAAATATATACTAGGCTTGACTTATTCTGCCCTTTGAAAGAAGCAAACCAAAGCCCTTTAACTTATCTACTAAAATGTCTTCAAAAACAAATACAGTGTGGCAACAGTGGATACATCTACAGTCTTTTAACTAGGTGATGAAGATTAAAGAGGGTATCAAAAACCCATAACCGGTAAACCTCCAAACCTCCCCCCCCCCC